GCTAGTTAACAAAGAGAATGTGGCTTTATAATGAAGTTTATTTGACCACAACCTCTCCATAGTTACTTTGTCACTGAAAAGAGAAATTGATTCTCAACACTGATCAGATACTCATTCTCAATCTTTGGTGGGTAGTTGGCGGGGGGCGATGTGGGGTGTACTTTATCTGCTGTGGATGTTTATAACCATTTAGCATGCCTCTGCAGTGGAAACTTCTACAGTGTTGTTGTTTTTTATTCAGTATAACGTTTTTACTGTAGCCAAAACCTTCTATAATTAAAAGAAAAAAATCAGGTTTTTGTACAAAATTAGGGAGGATACTGAGCCACAGTAGGGTTGTTACTTTGATGAATCTGTTTCCAAAATGAACTCTTTCCAGAATTGCATCGTGGTAATAAATTAGGGCATTGGGTAAGTGACACTAAGAATTCCGTGACCATTTCTTGGTGTATCATCCGGATCTTTTATTTTTCTCTTAAGGAGTTTATCGCTGCGCCATCAACCCAGTGCCACTGGCCACATTTTTTCCTTTGAGCGCTTGCAATGTGGTCCGTCTCAGCGGAGACATACTTAGTGTGAAATCCAGACCGGCGTTCGAAGACTCAGTATGGGAAAAAAGCAAAATATCACAATAATTTAACACATTAATTACATGTTGAAGATGTAAGATTTTACATATATTGAGTTAAATATATTTCATTTCACCACTTTCATTTTACTTGTAACACGGCTACGAGAAAATGTTAGATTGCTCAGGGCTGGGGGACAGCACTGGTTTAGAGGCTATCGGAAGCCGTTTCAGCCAAAAGGGCCCGTCATACATCACTCCGCCTTTCCATTTGCTTTTCAGCCAACTGTAAGCTAGTTTTTTTCTCCCACCGTTTTTACTCAAAATAACTCGCCCCGAGTTCCTTCCTGGTCCCCGTTCCTCCCCTGTCCTGGGGGTGGCGCTCTTCCCCCGCCTGTCCCGGGAGGTCCTGCAGGCCTGAGGATGCGGGGCTGACGGCCCTCTGTGCGGACCTGGACCCGCGCGTATCGGGCGGGGGACGACGACATCTCCCTGTTCCTGCGCCATCAGCCGCCTGATGGGATGCCTGTGGGGTTGGCCTCTGTAACGTGTGGTATTTCTGCGGGGCTTTTTTGTTTGCTTTTTGTTTTTGCGTTCCTTGCTTCGTCATATCGTTTTCATGCTGTTTCCCTCTCGAGACTGTCGGAAACAAGATAAGGGCACATTCTTCAGAAGGCTGTTTCCAGGCGCGCTCTTGCGTTTGCCCGTCCCCTGCAGGCGATGCGCTGACCGCTGGCTCCCCTGTGTTCTTCCCTCTTCTCTTTCCCCGAGTGTCCTCCGTCCCTCCCCTCCTCTGCCATCGGTGGCCCACAAAGACCCGCGAGTCCTGCCCCCCGGCCCCCTTTTCTTTCCAGTCTCACACCTGCCCCCCAACCCCCGGCAGGCCCCTTCCCGACATTGCCCTCCCTTCACATCCACGGTCCCTGAGTCCCAGGGAAGGAGCATCTGCAGCACACCCCCAGCAGGCACCTCACCCCTTAACCCCCATCCCAGTTCTCTGTAGGGCCCCAAACCCCCCAGAGGTCATGGTATTTTTTTGTTCTTTTTCCGTCCCTATTAAAAGGTAAGGCTCCAAAGGAACAGGGGACTCCTGCCTGTTCCCTGCCGTTGCCCCAGGCCGTAGCTCCCAGGCAGGCAGTGAAACTTTGTTGAATAAAGGATGACATCCTTTTTCCCCTTCAGGCTCTGCCCGCTTATGTCCTCGGTGATTCTCCAAGGCAGACTGACTCCCTCGGATTTACTTATCTCCTGAGCACGTTGTGGACCATGCACTTCCCAGAGAGAAGCCCGACAGGCTCTGATAATGAACTCCGGTTGTGGTACCCCGTCCTCACGCACAATAGAGACCCTGTGAGGTTTTCCTTGTAGCTGTCGCCTTTATCCCTTTCGCTCGCTCAGCGGCACTGCTGTGCGCCTGCGGGGCCGGGCCTGATCCCGGTGACATCACGGGGGCCGGCCGGTGGCTCCTGTCCTCATCAGGTTCTTCCCACCCTGGTGATGGATCTCCACGCGTTCTCGTAACAGGAGAGGGTAGGCTGTTGGGTCCGGTCACGTAGTAGGATGCTTTACAAAGAGAGGGACCATCCATACCTCGGTTTCCTTTGTCACATCACAGCCCTTCACGTGGTGGAAAATTGCGATAATCTGCTTCACTGCCGTGCTAGGTCTTCTCACCAAGTTGACACAAGGCTAAGAACAGAAAAAGGTGTCCTGGAGGGCAGGGGCCCACAGGCAGAGACACCGCCGTGAGAGGGTGACCGGTCTGAGTGACTGGCCACGGGGAGCCCGGAGCCGGGCGGGGTTTGTGGAGCACAGCGAGCAGCTTGAAGGTCCCTGGCGCCGTGGGAAGCTGGTGAAGGCTTGGGCAGGGGGCTCGCAGGATGGATTTACATGGTCCAGGAGACCCTTCTGGCTGCAGGACGGCCGGTATTCTGTTGCAGTTCAGCCGGAAAGGGTGGTGGCTGGAGTTAGTGTTCGCCAGTAGCCAAGGTCGAGAAGGGCCTGCGTTGGGGGCTCAGATCAGTAGGATGTGGTGGCCGGGCAGCTAGACGGAGGCGGGGGCAGGGGAGTGACGGAGATGCTGCCCCGCCTTGTGCCCTGCTGGGAGAGGGGCGCTCCCCGAGGCCCCTGTCCATGGCACCGGGAGGGTCTGATCTGGAAGGGGCACACAAGCCTGATTTGGGCAAGGTGAATTTGAGGTGCCCTTGCGACCTGAGAGGGGAGATGGGGTGAAGGGTCGGTTGCAGAGGTCTGGACCATTCAGCCCGGGGTGCAGGCAGCTGGTGCGGGGGAGGGTGCGGGGAGACAAGAGGCAGGAGCCCCTGGATCAAGCTGTAGGGACCCAGTGCTGGGCGGGCCAGGAAGGGAAGACAGACCAACAGGGAGACAAGCAGCAGCCGGAGAGTTAGGAGGAAAACCAGACAGTGTTTTGTTCTGGAACCAAGAGAAAGGGAGTTTGTAAGCAAGGAAGGAGCAGCGGCAGCGGCAGGCAGCGCTGAGACGGAGCTCAGAAGAGAGCAGGGATGAGAAGACTGGGTCGGGTGGAGCGGTCGGCTGTGAGTGGGAGGAAGGGTCACATGAACATCACTGCCGACCTCTGGAGAAGCACGGTGTGACGGAGGAGGCAGGGAGTGGCAGTCAGCAGGACAACGGGATGAACGTGCCGTGGACGAGGTGCTGTGGGGCGGTGGGGGGCGCACTTGGTAGAGGACCCAGCCGGGCAGGAGTGAGTGATGAAAATAAACCCGCCAGGCAGGGAGGGCGGAGGGCTTCCCGAGCAGAGGCAACAGGGATGAAAGGCCTGAGATGCGGCCCGTGTATCTTGCTGAGGGATTACAGCCCGTTTGATTTGGAACCCAGATTCCCTGCAGCATGGCGACAGGGGATTCATCCAGAAAGGCAGGAGCTAGATCGTGAAACATTCTGGGTGCTGTGGCGAGGCGCTGATACCTTGCTGGGGCCAATGCTTCTCAGTTTATCTTTGGAAATATTCTGAATGGCAAAAGACAGTAAGTGCAGACCCTCTCTAAAGCAAACATAAACTCTTTCAAATCTCATATTTTATTTTAAAAGTTCTAATGAATTTTACTTCTAGTTCTTAATATATCTGCTCGACTTTTTACGCAAAAGTGTCAGGTTCTTTTCGACTGAGTCAAAATGAGTTCAGGAATATGAAGCCGATTCTGTGGCTCTGGGCGGCATTCGCCACGTGTGTCCCGCCGCCCGCATTCGAGTGTGTCTGCTGGTGATGACTGACAGCCATCCCGCCATGGGGAGAGGAGATGCCGTGAGCAGCTTACATTGTGGGAAGATCATGGTACACTGGAGGATGGGTCGAAGGTGGGGAAAACTAGAGACAGGAGGGCAGTGGTCCACGTAAGAAGTCATGAATCCCAGACTTCAGGCAGTGGGGACACTGGGATTTAGCAAACAGAATGAGCATGACTGGTGACGTCATGCGACGTGAGTGGCGGAAGATGAAGACTGTTTGAGGATGATGCCCTGGTGCCTGACTTGGGCGTCGAGACTGGGAGCACAGAAGAGAGGAGTGGGTTTGGGGTGCGGGGAGGAGCCTCTGAGTTGTTGGCCGAATTGAAGGCCTTGCCCGTCGTGGTAGCTGAGGGTGGGGGCACTGCAGCCAGATGCACAGAGCTGACTTTCACGGGCGCTGCGAGTCCCGAGAGGGCTTAGGGTAGAAGCCGCCATCCAAGTGGCGGCAGAAGCACTGATGGTAGCTGAAATTGCCCAGAAATAGACTGCGGAGTCTCGGGAGGAGGGGCCGGCCAGCCAGAGCTCTTGGGCGGCACCAGTGTTTAAAAGGAGGGCAAAGAAAAAAGTCCTGAGAAAATGGTGAGGGATCCGGAGAGAGGGGACTAGACCAAGGGGGAGCGTTAAGGATGACGAGCGGGTCCCAGCTGCACAGCAGTCAGTGCGTGCAGAACCAAGCCTGAGTCGCCCACCGGCTTTGGTGGCCCTTCTGGTATTTACGGTACCGCGACCTTAGTGAGAGCGGGTGGAGTAGAGAGGGAAGCCCCGATCAGCTTGACTGAGAAGCGGTTGCTGGGATACCCGGCCTTGGCTTCAAGAAGCTGAGCTCCGAGGGAGGGAGTGTGTTGGCTGGAAAGGGCTGCGGAGTCACGGGGGGGAGGGCATTTTTTTTATAAGTGGTTTGATTTTGTTCTAAGATAGGAATAGATGCATATTTATATTTCTGTGCTGAGGGAGAGCCAGTGTAAGGGAGGAGATCGTGCAAAGCCTGCTGCCTCACACGTGCTAAGTATCCTGTGCACGTACCTGTGTAATGAATGAGCGTTTCCTGTGAAATCTCTCGAGCTGTTTCACAGGTAGAATCTGTCTGTTTCATGGGCGACCTGCCCTTTTTGCTCTTCATGCTCAATCCTGCTTTTATTAATCTGGGGGTGTTATCTTCCAGCCTCAGAACATTCTGCTGACAAGTGACTCTCCACTGGGCGACATTAAGATAGTTGACTTTGGTCTTTCAAGAATAATGAAGGACAGCGAGGAGCTGCGAGAAATTATGGGTACTCCTGAATATGTGGGTAAGTGTTCGGCAGAGTGGCGTGTGTCTCGTGTTTGGGGTCAGGCGTCGCCTCTGCTGGGGGCTCGTGTGTGGCATGGTTAGTGGTGGGGCCAGCCATCCACTGTGCTGAAATTCCATCATCAGAGACCCCCTTCCTCTGAATTAAGTTATAAAATGGAAAACTTGGAAGAGTCAGGTACCAAACTTGGGACCCCTTTCCTGGAGGGCACTGGGAATTTGAAGAGATTGCTTCTCAGAGAAATAGGAGAGGACTTTCACAAAGCAGAGAACATCAGGTTATCTGAAGATGGAAGCATATTAACAAGAAAGCACAGCACCTTTTAAGAACTTCCGGTTGGTAGTAAACATTAGAATAATTGCAAGCCCTGTGATGGCACAGATGTGGGCAACGGGGCATCCTGTTGGACTGATGCAGAGTTGTGAGCTTCTGGCAGAAAGAAAAAGGAGAGAGTGTTCAAGTGATGCAGCATGGCTTCTAGTTTTGGTAGGAAAAGAACTATGACTTTTTTGATTGACTAGGAAGGAAGATGGGGCATAGAAGGATCGTGGTTTGAATGAGGTTTAAAAAAAAAAGGCAGTGAAATAATTTAAAGGCTATGGCCAGATGTTACAACATTTAAAATTTCAGAGTAGAAACGGCCCTTTGTAATTACAAGGCCTTGGATGTAGCCACGAGGTCGGGCGGGGGTGCCGGGCTGCGTGGGTCGTTCAGGTCACTGTGGAAGTGGCCCGGGGCGACGGCAGCCCTGGGGAGGATGGAGAGGTCTTGTATCAGAAGCTGATACAAGAGCAACTTGACCAGGAGTAGAGAAGGCTGTGGCCTGGGCCTGCGGGAGGAAGAAGATTTGCTCGAGGGCAGAGGTGTGAAGCAGGCAGACAGGCAGTCGTCTCCTGGAAAGCCTGGGGGTCTGGCGAGAGGACGGTGAACCAGGAGAGCCTTGAAGGAGCCGAAGGAAAAAAAGGATTCAGGGGACACAGAAAGCCGCAGAGGACAGATGGTTTGAGGAAAATAAAGCGGTGTGGCAATGATAGTGCCAAAAATGATCTGAAGTTTTAAAATACTTTTTAAAGCCCTTCGATTTGGAACAGATCCTTCATTAATTAGGTGATAAAAGATATGCCAGGGAGAGAACCACCCTGCAGACTTGGCCCGTGTGCTCTGTGGACAGGAACACTTAATCTCCAGTATGCTGACTGACAGGCATCATGACCACTAAGAGATTTAGGAATGTGGCTTAACGTGCTCCTTCAGGGAGAGCGGCATCCGGGTTGTGCGGCCAGTTTTTAACGGGTGGCCCTGTAAACTGAAGACACCCAGAGGTCCACGGAATGATTACAAGCGCAATCCCAAAAAATCCTAGGATAATTCAGAAAGATACAGTACAGAAAAACACGGGGTGGGGTCTGTCTTTCCCTGGCCTGCCTTTTAAAGGGGAGTTTCAGCCTCCCACCCCCTCATCCCTCAGCCCCTGGCGTTTTAACACACAGAACGGACGACCTGGGGGTGTTCTGCTCTGCAACTGGCAGCCGGGTGACCTTGGTCCCAAAACTCTTTATACCTCTCGCGTTCCTCTGTCCATGAAATGGGGCTGGAGAAGTCTTGCCCAACTGGACCTGCTCGGCCAAGCTCTGGGGTCAGCACCCAGCAGTGTCATCCCCACCCCTCCTCCCACCGGCTTTCTTTCGCTCTCTCCTAAGAGCGCCCACCCAGTAATTTGGACGCTATGCATTTCATTGTCAATTTCCTGGGAGTTTCATTTCAAACTTTAAAATAAAGACTCATAACCTCCATTTCTCAACTCAACAGTTAGAGCTGGAAGTCGAGGAAATCAGCTCCCCTCGCGTTTCCTCCACCTCCTATTCTGGGCCAGGTTTGTCTCCAACCAGTAATGGATGTTCGACTTGGAGTATTTTAGTTTTTCCTAGAGTTAGAACATTTTCATTCCCTTTTTTATTGTAATTAGCAGTTTAGGCTTTGATCTGTTTTTAAATGGATTCAGTACTTACTGCCTGTCTTTTCCTAGCCCGGGGCCTTCCTGTTTGTATACTTTTGAAATAAATCGTCTTTTGATTGACTGGATTGTATCAGTGGGTAGATTTTTCTTTTCAAGGATTTTCCTAATTTCCTCATGTCCTTGCACATCTGGGGATGTCTTTCTGCTGCCTTTCTGTGTGATTAATAGTGGGGCCAGCCATCCACTGTGCCGAAATTCTGTCATCAGAGACCCCTTCCTTTGTCTTCAGTTATAAAATGGAAAACTTGAAAGACAGCAGTTTAGTAAGCAAATTGTTTTTCTTAACCCTATGGAGTTGTCTGGGTTGTGTGGGATGCATGCCATCTGAGGATGCCCAGGGTTTTTATTAACTGTGTCGATTGACTTTTTATTAATGGGTGGGCATTTTAAAAGCTCACTCCAGCTGCAACACAGAGGGTAGATCAGGGAGTGGACCGAGCTGGGGTCAGGGTGGGGAGTGCCGTGGATGGGAGAATGAGGGTGTGGGAGGCAGAAAAAGATTAAAAGCAGTAATCCGTTAGAGCTGATGCTGGATGAGACAGTGGTTGTGGAAAGAGGAGAGTGTAAAAGTTGTCAGTTTATACAAAGGCAGTATTTATGCATTCAAAAATTAAAAAACACTCTCGGATCCAGCAATGGAGGATGGAGGTGCAAAAAGCACGTAAGTGAATTACAAATGTCTAGTCAGACATCACAGTAATTCACATGCATTTGATTTATAGAGTGAACTTAATTTCATTTTAGCCCAAACCTTAGTGTCTTATAGTTTGATGACTGTTGGAATTTTTATCTCTAACAGCAAAATTTGGCATTTTTGCCCCCACAAAACTAAACATTTTCTTTTGTTTCTAACACTAGCTCCTGAAGTTCTCAGTTATGAGCCTATCAGTATGGCAACGGATATGTGGTAAGAATTATAAATTTATGAGAAATTGATCAAATTAGTGTCAAGAAATGAATCTGATACTAATTTCCTTTTACATTTCCATTCTGATCTAGGAGCATTGGAGTGTTAACATACGTCATGCTGACCGGAATATCGCCTTTCTTGGGCGATAATAAACAAGAAACATTCCTCAACATCTCACAGATGAATTTAAGTTTTTCCGAGGAAGAATTTGACGTCATCTCTGAGTCAGCTGTTGACTTCATCAAGACACTTCTGGTTAAGAGGCCTGAGTAAGTATTAGTTAATATTGATCTTTTGAGCAGTCGGCTCTGAACAAAGGTGGATTAACAGCTGAAACCCCAAAATGAACACCTGAAAATGTAGACATAAAATTAGGTGAAACTGGAGAGAGGGAGGGAGGGAGGAATGAAAAGATGGAGCACAAGGGATTTGGGGCAATGAAATTACTCTGTATGACACTACAGTGGTGGCTCCATATCAGTATGCATTTGTCAAAACCCACGGAATGTACAACATCAAGAGGGAACCCTAATGTAAAGTGTGGACTTTGGTTGACAACAGTGTGCCCATGATGGTTCATCGACTGTACCCGATACGCCACACTGATGAGGGATGCTGAGGGGAGGGCTACGGGCGAACTCTGTATTTTCTGCTCAATTCTGCTGGGAACCGGAAACTGCTCTAAAAGAATAGTCTATTTTAAAAAAGAAAAAACTAGGTGAAACCTCTGGCTGCTTCTCATCTGTTGAAAGAAACAGTGGCAAAAATGAAACTGTTTTTAGAAACTGTGAGCTGTCCCTCAGTATAACAGATTTTCTGTACGTCCTTGGGCTTTGAGGCAGGCTTTTCAGAGATCCCTTCCTTAAATATTTGTCAACGTTGTAGGGAATGGCATTTGCACGCAAATGCCAAGACATCTAGTTTTCACTCCGGAGTCGCAATAAGCCGACGATACCTTATGCTCTGATCTGTAGGCGAAGTTTCAGACTGCCTTGTCCTAAGTAAAATGTGTATCTTTACACAGGGACCGAGCCACCGCTGAGGACTGCCTGAAACATCCGTGGTTGACACAGAGCCGGGGGCACGAGCCTTCTTCCAAGGAGAAAGACGCATCAGCAGAAGCAGATGGGCTCCAGGCAGGTGATTCTGTGCCTGAAATTAATTCAGAGCCTCAGAAACCGGAAACTGAGGAGTCGATCGTAACGGAGGAATTAATTGTTGTTACTTCATATACTTTAGGACAATGCAGACAGTCTGAAAAAGAGAAAATGGAGCAAAAGGCCATTTCCAAACGATTTAAATTTGAGGAACCTTTGCTACAAGAAATTCCAGGAGATTTTATCTACTGAGCTGTATTTCCCTTTAGAACTTTCTAAGATTTCTACATTGGAAACATTAATATTATTTATGGACTTCTGGCCAAATGGTGCATGTGCTGAAAGTGGATAACCAGGTATCCCTGATAGAAACTAAAATAACTTTGTCACACTGGTGCAGTTAGAGGAATCAAGCCAGATTTATAAAGTTGCCAACCAGGAGATTTAACGGGTAAAGTTATCTGTTTCAATGTCATTTTTTTAAGAAGGGGCATGTTGGAACCTTTTATTTCTACGTCCTTTTTCTCCAGAATGAGAATTTGTATGCAAAGATAACTGTATTCACTTTCCTTAAAAATCCAAGTAAAAGTGCCAAAATTAACGTCTTTGTAAATCTACCTTGCGTCGTTCATATGTGTATCTGTAGCTGCATACATGTACGTTGATATCTTTACAAAATTGAGAGTTTTTCACTTTGGAGTTTTAGCAGAGAGTCAGAGCTTAAACAGGTATTTTCCAAATTTTTGAGACCTAAAACAGCAGCCAGGATAGTTTAATAACGTCTTATTTTTGTATTTCATTACTACTTTACATTGACTTGATTTGGCTCCTGTTGCCTGTCTGCTCTTAGTGCTTGTAAACCTATCAATGCAAAACCCTGGCTCATGTTTTTCCTTTAACGTCGCTGATAAGAGTGGTGGTGACTGTTCACCTCTGAGATGGTTCTGGTGTTCAAGGTCAAGGTTAAGTAATCCTGTGATACTAAACCAGCGTCGGCCCCTCGGTTGTCTCCCTCATCACACCTTCCCTGTCTTGGCGGCCACCTCCTCACACACTTGTCACTTAACTTTGGTCACTTGCAAGTGTCAGTGTGATCTGATCAACACAGCGGCGTTTTGGTCAGTGAAGAGATGCTGGCACGTTGTTGGTAATAACCTCCCCCCTCCTCCCCGAGTCGGGAAGAAATACAAAAATACAAAGCACGTCCACGCTGGCCATCGAGCGTCTGCTTCCGTTGAGTTTCACGTTAGCCCCCAGGCTCTACCTGGAAAAGTTCTAAAATGCCGAAATATTTATAAACCTTTCCTTTGTTCATAAACAATTTGACACTGGAGGCTCTGTCATTAGGGAGGCCACCCTTGTCCCCAAAAGACTTAAAGAATGTACTCAACAGCATGTCATTTATTTAGGATTGAGCACTTCAGTCGTATCTGGGCCCCACAGTGAACAGTAAATTCCTTTAGGAAAAGGACATGCAGAAGCGTACACTGTGCAGCTTAAAGCAACTAAATATCCTTCTCACGCAAACGTGAGTCCTTATTTCTGTTGTATTAGGTGCTGGTGAACCCAGCTTGTCTGTGTTCCGTGCGCTGCGTGCACACGCCACCTGTCACTTGCGCTGTGCACCGTGCGCGTTGCACGGCGTCCTCCTCCCAGCCTGGTTCCCGGACATCAAAGTCATGCCGATGGTGGCGCCCAGCCCCGTGTGTGCGGGGTGCTGGGCCAGACAGTCACAGGGCTGGTCTGTGACGGCTCCCAGCCCCGCCGTGCGGGCCTCCGGGCCCCCGGCGCTGTGCCCACACCGTCAGCTGAAACTGAGCCAGCAGTTCGAACCATCAAGTTGCCTTGTTTTCTCACTAAACTGGCTTATTTACCGTTTCTTGGAATCTAGCATTTCTAAACAGACTCTCTAAAGAGGAAGAGGAAATTCTGCTACAGTGGCAGAGTTTTCAGTGGAAACCCCCGGCCACAATGTTACGCCTCAGGTAAGTCACAATCTGGGGCAAATTTTTATCACTATCTCTGTGACAAAATTAGGAAGGAGGTGAGGAAACAAAACACCCACTACTGAATGATTGAATGACATTTTTATACTGGATGGATTTGTTAAGTTTTAGAATCATGTGGGCAACAGACTTTTTCTAAACCATTTTTTTAATATTACATTCATAATAAATATATTTAGTACAACTGCTGTATTAAAAAAAGGATGGGTTTTCTTACAGCTGGCCACTGCTGTCTGCAGAGCTCTGCTCACCCTTAGCAGTTTTTGTGCTAAAATTAAATTCAGAGTTGTACAGAGCTTCTTTAGAAGCACGTAGACTAGGAAAGGTTTTGGTTTATGTCCTATAAGTGGAGCACAAAATGCCTTCACAATATTGGACCAAGTCAAATCTTAACATTAATTACTTACCAACCAGCTCTGCACTTATCTGTTCATTTTCCCTTTTGACTGGGTTACGAAGGACTTCACAGTACTGTTGAGTTTATCCACACGGTTTCAACATGATAATATTTTAGCTTGACGAGAAGTTGTTCATGAAATACCCAAAATGTACAAGGCGTTTTAGTCAATTGGGAAACTGTGTTTTCGTGGGGGGTTTTTTGTTGTTCTCATATGAAAAGTAGGAGAATATGGCTTTCTGTGGTAGGTAGAGGGGAAGCTCAGATGCTAATTGTGGTAACTCTTAAACTTTTCCAACTGAGCTCAGTTTGGAAGAAAGTGTTCTAGAGAAGGGGTGGCCCAGAGCAGGTCAGACAGGAGGTCGACCTCAGTCCTCATGATCCGTGGGAAGGTGTGCGGCTTCGTCTATGGACGCCTGAGCGACGTCGGTCCCTGGACGCCGATGTTGGTCATTCCAAGGTACCAGCAGACGAATCCTGAATCCATGTTAAGCTCACACTTGTAGAAATTTGAATCAGACTGATCAGGTTATAAATAAGGTAGTCAAAAGTTGTTCAAGATCACTCACCATCTCGTACCTTTAATTTGCTGTAGAATTAAAAGAGCTGGATGACAAACCTCAGTCTTAACTGCAAACGCCTTCATCTCCGACTGCGGGTCTGTTGTGGGAGGGGGGATGTAATTCGCAAATAGTGACACGAACAGCTCCGAGCCCACACCAGCCCGCGTCGGGCTTGACAAATGCACACCTTCGTGTGCATGGAGTCGGGTGGCACGTGCCTCTGGGGTGGCGTTCCTGAGGCCCAGCCGTGCTGGCGCCTGTGTCCGCAGCGTGTTCCTTGTCACCGCTGGGGAGCGCTTTTGAACATCCCACAGCTGTTGTAAAACCGCATCTCTGTTCACGGGACCCGTGGGCTGCTTCAGGTTTTGTCTCCTATGCATAAAGCTGCTCTAGACATTGTCCAGGTATTTTTCTGTGGACACTTTTTCATTTCTCTTAGATTAAATAGGAATTTCTAGGTCACAGGGTAGATGTACATGAAACTTTGCAAGAAAACACCCAGCCATTTCCAAAGTGATTTTTCCGTTTGCCATCCCTGCCAGCAACACAGGAGAGCTGTGCGTGCTTCACAGTGTTGGCCATCGCTTTTTTCCTCTCGCCGTTCTCATGGGTCTGTGATGGCATCTCGTGCTGGGTTACTTTGCATTTCCCTGATGACCAATGAGGAATACTATTCCAGTGTTCGTTGGATCATTTTTTTTGTCCTTTTTTTTCTTTCTAATGGGATAGTGACTTGTGATCCTCTTTTATATATTCCAGATACAAGTCCGATTTATGCGTTAACAAATCTTTTTGCCCATTCTGTGAGTTGTCTGTTTCCTCGACGGTATCTTCTGAAAAGAAGGTGGTTTTAATTTTGATGAAGTCCAACTGATCAATTTTTCTTTTACGGTGAACACATTGTGTATCCTCTTTAAGAAGTCCTTACCTACCCTGAAGTCATAAAGGTATTATTTTTTTCCTACGCTTTATAGTTTTAACTTTTACCTTCACGTTCATGATCCACTTTGAATTAACTTCTTCCCCCTTTGGTGTTAGGTCGGGGTCAAATACGTCTGTTTTTCATGTGAACATTCAGTGGTTCCAGCACCATCTGTCAAAGAGGCTGTCCTTTCCCCACTGAGCTGTTTTGGTGTCCTTGTCCGAAGTCATTTGACCGTGTATCTGTAGATCTGTTTCTGCGCAGTCTTCTGTTTCATTAATCTATGTGCTTATCCTTTTGTGAGAATTATATACGTCCTGAAGTCAAGTGAAATAGGACTTCCAGTTCCTCTTTTGTAAGATTGTTTATTCTAGGTCCTTTGCTTTTCCAAAGAAATTTTAGGGTTGACTTGTCAACTTCTACCAAAATTACCCCCTAAAAAAGCCTCTTGGGATTTTGGAGATGTCATTGAATCTGTAGATCAAATTGACTTTTTAATGATGAGTCTTCCAATCTATAAACATAGTCTGTATTCCCACTTACTTAATTTTTCTCAGCATTGTTTTATATTTCTTTCATAGATTTTTTTTAATTTAATTATAGTCAGTTACAATGTGTCGATCTCTGGTGCACAGCGTTAACATCCTAGTCATACATACATGTATTCGATCTCATAGGTTTTTTTTTTCCTTTTTCACTTTTATTAGGTAGAATTACTATAGTTTGACTGCACATACACATTATATTACATGTCAATACATATATACACTATACTGCACTTTTTTTAGTATACATATATGTACTAATTATTGTTTGTAAGAACAGATTAGATCTTTAGCTTTTTAAACTTACATAATTATCAAGGGAATAAAGCCAACTACAAAATAAGGATCAGCATTGTTTCATATTTTTCAGTGGAGAGAACTTATACATCCTTAACTTTGTCCCTTTTTTATTTATTTTATTTTTATATTATTTTTATATATTTTTTATTTATATTTTATTACTTGGTGCAATTGTTTTGGATACTCTCCAGTTTGGGGTTTTGATACACCTAACCTTCCGATGGTCATTTTTAGCTCTTTGTGCTTAATCAGAACTCTAATTTATTTAAACAAAAATGTGTACTTTTCTTCTGAAACTGTTCGTTTAAAGGCAGTATAAAGTGGTGGTGGTAACAGTGAAAGTAAGTCTGCTGAACTGAAATTCACAGTGACAGAACTGGGAAGTAAAAACACATGCCCTCCTCTCATTCTCTTGAAGTAGAGGTGAGCTAATAGCGTCTCAGAGGGGAATGTGCGAAACGCCCAAGATTTACAGCTGCCGGCAGAACAGAGAATAGACTCATTGAGCTTCACGGGGCCTTCACCTCCGTGGATTCTACCTTTGGCTACATTGTATGTCCATAAAAGACTCGTCTTTAAAAATAATTTTTGTGCAACTTGCTTTTGGACGGATCTGTTTTAATAACTGGAGGGTAAGTATCTGAGACCAGGCTGGTACCGAGGCCGGCGTGCTGCATACCCTTGTTTCCTGTTTGGTAAATGGAGCTTTGTTGGAACACAGCCTGTTCACTTACATTTGTCTCCAGCTGCTTTAATGCAGAACCACAGGCTTAAGCAGGTGCCCTAATCAGCCTAAAATAGTTAACTCTCTGGCCCTTCACAGTCAGTTTGCCAACCCCCAGGCTACAGTAACTTAAACATATAAAATAGGAGATAATTCCTAT